TACAGACAAAGGAAAATGTACCCGAATAATCTCGGTCCTCGTCCTTGTGATGTTTTTATAGGTGACTACGTACTGCCTCATCTACAAAAATGTTAGAGTACTATGCTTGAGGAATGTTTCCAAAAAAATCATAAAAGACTCTTCTCCGTCCTTCATTCATGCGAATAACCCAAGAAGAAAAGGACCAAGTATTCACATAAGTAGAGGCCGATTGACTAGCCGGGGACCCAATGTACTCGGGTTCTAGTAATGATTAAGGCATCGTAATGAATCCGTGACTTTCTTTGAAGGCTCGTGTATACCTTTGACTCTGCGATGTAGTCTCCGTTCTATTTGTCAAAAACTTAGCTCCGAGATATTTTGAATTGTCCGGATACAATACACTGTTCTTTGTAGCGTTTATGGGCAATCGATCGATTTAGTCGCTGAATTCACCCTAGACACTAGCTTATCTTAGTCAAAATAGTTAAAAGGTAGTAGAATGATAGCATTATCATATCGGTTAGTAAGTCTTGATACTTGTGAAAACTAAACACAGATGGTACCACCCGAAGTACTCCCGGTAACACAGAAAAGTACACAGTTAGGCAGGAAAAATGATAGGATTCAACCGTGCTCTGTGAACTCGAATAAGGAACAGCCGAGAATGGTTAAAGTTCGTATCGTAGTGAATCAGTAGGATCTCTCGCTCAAAACCTCCGGAATGGCTTTGGTGTTCTAATAGTCTTTTAGAGTATCTCGTTCTGTGCTCTCCGGACATTTAAAGTGTTTTTTTTTTCAAATCCCACTTTTCAACTCCAAATAAATAACGGTGGTAAGCATTTTTATTTTGCAAGTCTCACATTTTGTCGTGGACGCATCTTTGAATATATTGCAAGCCTGTGCCTATTTCGGGTGTTTTTTTGGATATTTTCCCGTCAAGATTCGTCAGAAAATTATGAACTCACAGGCATTTGTGACCGTTAAACGGAATAGTCAGACGAGCTTCTCGGCTAATTAAGAGTGCGTCATTAACATGTCTTTCAGATTATCCAGCCACCACGCTAAGCCGCCTGCTTCGTCAATAAGGAAATGCAGATCACTCAGTTATTTGTGAGCGGTCAAAGTTTAAAAGATTACTAACAAGGAAGACCTTGCTAGCCAACATGGGAACTCGTTTAGAATTATCCACGTTTCCAGACAAAACACCAGACTCTCCAAAGGAAGAATCCGAGATTCTAGTTCCAGACAGTCGCCTCAAGACAACCCGAAGCTTACTATCTTACTCACTCTTTTATAGCTCTTTACTGTTGTTTTGTTCGGAAATGTTCACATGTCCGAATATAGTTCAAGTGAATTGGTCTGACGGTACACGCCCAATTTCTCAGGGCAACATAGGTTTGGTATTTTTGCTGACATCTGATTTTTTAGCGTTTGAACTTCAAGAACTGCGAAACAAGTTACCGTGACTGTGCTACGTTCTGTGGTAGACCCGAGCCTGGACGGCATCAATTCTCGGGAACTTTTAGGCACCTGGATGCTTCCTGTTAGCTGTAGGTATACCGGGTTCGTGTCTTAAGTAGGTCAGCAAAATGTGCTAGCATTTTAAACATTAGTTTGGGTTTTAGCTCCTGCTACTAAAATTCCCTCTTTACCACAGCTCAAAATGTGTTTCTGAGTTACGGTCACTTTATTCTAAAAACATTGTCGTTTCTTAAAAAAGACACTTCTACCTTAACCAGAGCATCAGTTCAGACTCGTACTTGTGCACTTTTATTGTCTAACAGCCAGACGTGTAAAAGAGCGGTAATCTTTGAATTTTCGACAGCATTTTCCAGTCTAAGTTGTGCACTGTCTTGGAAATCAACGTTTGCATTTTAGTCTTTTCTGCCTTATCTACATTTACTTGACCGTCCTTTTCAACAATAACTAAAATGTTTACAGTATCTGAGGGTAATAATGATACGAGGGTACTGAACATACATAGGAAAATGAGATCTTTCTTGATGACCTTGGCTCACCCATTATAGCTTTTATCCCAGAAGGAACGCATGGAAGATTGCGAGGACGACCGGCGTGGTATGCAGTCTCTTGCAAAATAGTTGTGCCGCCTTGTCTCCTGTTTAAGTGCGTAGTTGACTGGGTTCCCGAAATGACTTCGCGTGATATCAGCTTTGCTTATTTTGCACGAAAATGATAGCCTTATTCCCCTGCTATCTTTTGGCCACATCAGCTTACACAATATAATGTCTAGGGTGAATAAGGCAGTTAAATCTCTCAGATTGTCCATAAACGAAACGAAGAATAAGATCCTTTCGAGTTGTATTTCTAACAACGAGAAGGCAAAATTAGTACGTTATTGTTGTTGGCTTTACGAGTTGCACATTTTAAAATATATGGATCGAGTTTCTGAAAAACAGGCGAAACAGGAATGACCTTGTCACCACAATTGAAGAACTGCAAGTTCTTTAAAATATCAGAAAATATAAATGCTGGTTCCGCTGTTGTTTTACGAAAATCGGCTAACAGTTGCATTTTAAAGGATTCCTGTGCCACATGCAAGGCTGCAGCATATGATGTTAAAAGGGAATGTTTTTCGAAGCATAACATAAAATTTTAAAACTGACAGACTTGTAGGTGGTAGTGGGATTATTAAGACTCAGTAAATTAATGCCCTTCAGTCCATTGTTTGTTTCTAAAGGCCGTGAGCGCTGGAAACCTGAACCACGACACCTGCTGCCTTCTCATAAGTTCAAGTACGTCAAATTTACTATAGGGCGGAATTAGCTGGCCTGTCTTAGAAAAGATCCCCGTATATCAACATAATTCTCTCTTCCCTCTCCCATGCACCAGTCGATTCTCCGAACCTTCCAGTCGACCGATGAGATTTTGCACAGCAACTTACCAATAGCAGCTAAGTTTCACATGCTTGACTGAAGTTAGGGGCTCGCGGGGGACTGATAAGCGGGTCCGGCGAGCTCATATGATTCTCATTCTGTCCCAGCGCAGTTCTATAGCACACAAAGTGTCACAAGTGACAACTATAAAAACTCGTAAAATCGAACGAACCGTCAATCGCTAGGCATCTGAGTGTAGTCTCATTCCAATACAAATATATTGGGATACAATGTAGGAAGGAGGGGTCATTTGGAGCTCATCTTCGTAAGCACCAGCTGATGGGAACATATCACTTGTTTTCACGCCTAGAGGCACTGTAGACTGCAAAGTATTTGGCAAAACTAGGAATACGATTGCGAGACATGGTTCATGTGATGAAAAGATACCTACTGCACTGATAGGGATTTCCATTCGTTTTCCGAATTCGTCTCCTCTACCACAACCACTAGGTGATTTAAATCGGCAGCATTTCGTTCCGTAGAACATCTCCAATCTTGTAGAAAGTTAAGCCATTTGTTGTATCCTAGATTATATGCCACTTAAGCTCCTTTCTTTCCAGCAAGTGCGTTGACGTAGATAACGTAGCTGGTGCAGATTTTGAGGACCTATCCGGCCCTGCGGTCTACGGTTTTCATATTTGGCCTACAACATTGTTCAGATTAACGTGAGGCTTCAATTGGAGACCAACCGATTGCACCAATCCTTAACATCCTTGAATGCATTTTTGAGAATTTTTTTAAAGTAGGCTGATTATGCACGAAGCTTTCGGAAGTCGGTCCATTTACAACTTCACAAAACTGGGTTCAAAGAGGAACACAACGTCACCTTGCGGTCTCGGAAATTGTAAGCGTGCTCGAAATATTTAGATCCCCATTCTAGGGTACTACCCTGACCTCAGCGGCCAGAACGATCTGCATTGACCTGCCATAAAAAACTGAGCCAATATAGGTGCTTGGCTAACACTGGAATCATAATTTTTTGCCTCACGCTTTTAGGAGAAACGAAAGAGTTATAATTATACCACGGTTCACGGTGGCATTACTTCGCTTGTTTTGTGTGTGTGCTTTTGTGTTGAGTTGGAAGCTTAAGCGTACTAAACGCGTAGCGTTTGCACCTTCTCCTGATACTTAAACCGTTCATCGCAAATTGGAAGTAATTTTATGTCGAGGCTGCGTAATACCCTACGTGTTCGACTTAAAAGTGTTTCCTGTGATGTTGGGTGTGTGATTTTGAAGTCTCGGCAAATAAATAAAGAGTTGACGATTTTACAAAATTTTAATGATTCATCTGAACCTCTTGTAAAACAACTCTCCGATCTCGGTAGGATTCGAAACGACGACTGTAAGGTTTGAGTAGAGCTAATGTTTTAACCGCCTTAGCTATGAGAGTCGTGAGTTTGATCACGTTTGAGTCAAGTTACCCGCCGAGGCTACCGACTTTTGGGAACTGAAGTATTATTTGGTACCGCACTGGTAATTTTTAGAACCCCACCGTTCAGTTGCAACTTTATGATTTAACCACGGACTCTAGCTCCAAAATAAACAGTGATTACGGAGAGGAACCACGCGTGCCAACTTCCGTTCTGTAAGGCCAATGGCCAATCTGTTGAAAGCAAAACCTATCCGAAGGTGGTATGTAAAATACCCATATCTCATACACATTTGCAGACGGTAGTTTTCCAATGCCGAGTTAATGTCGGAAGGCTTCACATGGGGTTTCCGATAGCGTCTAATCAGGTCTTTGACTGACAGCCAGGTCTTCGTTGCCTGGGATAGTTATTTCAGAGCAGCGTTTACTGGACTCATCGTGCAAAACTTGACTTCATCACGGTTTATCGTATGAATGTACGCAAAGTGTTTGTTTCCCACCCCAGTTCGTCAATTTTCTGTCCAAATTCCTTAGTGAACGGTTTGTAAACAGGCAGCGCTAACAGCTGTAATCTGGCACAGGATGGAAACAAATCCTTCTGGTTTGCCCCGTTCCCTGGTTTGCTCTTCTGCATTCACGGGATTAAGAAAAAGCAGCAACGGCGCCGACTACGTCATCAGCTAGTCACCCCAGCCCCATATAAGTTCCTGATCTCCGTTGATAAAACGTAATTCGGTAATTTTTTCTATTCGGGTTAGGTACGAGAATAAAAAAACCCATCGGCATAGTACGCCCGGCATTGCGCTAAATTCGAGAAAGGTTGCATGCTCCCATACCCTTTCCTTAATCTAACTGCAATTTAACATAAAGCCATCTGCATCAAGAAGAGGATTTTAGTCCGTCGTCCTACATTTTTATATTGCCTTTGACTAATCGATACTGTTACACTAAATATTCATCATATGTCGAACACTTTCACCTAATTTTGTGGCGACAGTCTCGG